AAACCCAATCAAGAAGCTCTGTGGTTGGATTCAGCCTTTGAGGGGGAAATTGCTGGTCCCAGTATCCCTGCCCTGTTTATTCAGACAGGGAAAGTTCAGAGTGGCCACATGAATTGGCATACAACATTGTAATTTACACCATCTATCTCTTTCTGGCTTTTGGGCCTCTGGCAAATTGCGTGTCTTTGTGTTGGATTAGTTTGGAATTTAATCATGCATTATTTTCCCTCCAATTAAATTATTTATATATTTGATTAACGTTTTTCACTGTTAGGAAGTCAAAGTTTTTCAGTGAAACCACAAATAAACTCTTGCCCATTGAATTTCAGGCCCACTTCACATGGGCTTCATCTGTCTGCTGATTGTTAAGAATTCATTGCATATTACTCTTCTTTTAGCTTCCTTAGAGTTTGGTGAGAAAAAAAATATGTGTGTATTTTCAACCCAATCCTAGGGAAATGCTACAGACCTGAAACGTGTCTGGCCTAACTCCCTCCTTTCATTGAACTCCCCCTTTTGGCCCCGGATCCTGTTTTTTTTTTTCCTTTCTAGTTTCTTTTCTTCTCTCTGGCACTAAAGCATACATCCTCCTGATTTTACTTTCACAGGCTTGAGAGCAAACCTGATAAATGTTAGAGTAAGAAAGAAACTTTGAAATCATCTAGTGTGGGGGCAAGTAACCTAATAGCTCACAGGCTATATTCAGTCCACTGTTTGTTTTTAATATAAACAGTGGTGAGCTAAGAATAAGTTTTTACGGTTTTAAATAATTTTTTAAAACTTTAAGGGACTATTTCATAACATGCAAACTTTCCATATTCATAAATGAACGGCTACATTTTATTCATTCATATATTGATTAGAGCTGTTCAACTTTGGACTACAGTGAATAAAACTTTTCTGTCTGGCTTCATACAGAAAAAACTTTACCCACACCTGATCTAGTTCATCAATATAATTTTATAAATGAGAAAATTAAGCCCCAAGGAGGCAAATCTGCCTATCCAAAGTACACAGCACATCAGAAATTGGTCAGAGATGCATCTGTGGGAACCATACAGTATCTGCCCAAATGAATCCTCCCTGAGCTTTTGCTGCAGAGGCCAATGCAGTTTTCTTAAAGGAAAGTAAATATTTAGTAAATATCACATGAATATGTGAAGTCTATGATTTCTTAGAATTTTAATTTTCACTTAAAATCTATCTTTCAAAAATATTTTAAGCTTAAAACACATTTGAATTACCTAAATAGAAAGACACCTCCTTATTTCTTTATAGTAATTGATTATGACCTCTACTTAGCATTTGAGCTTTAAGAAAAATGAGATCAACTTGGTCTCTACACTCCTAGATTGTAGACTTTTCTTTCCAGGAAAAAAAAAAAAAAAAAAAAAAAAAAAAAACCCTGTGGTCTCAGTGTATGTGTGAATTCAAGGGTCACTTCAGACTACTACAAAAACAGGTTAATTTGGACACCACAGTCTAAGAAGACAGAAAGGGAAAATTCCAAAGAGGCTAACCTTGCTGAAAGTGAAGTTGCTTCAACTGTCCCATGTATGTTCCTCCCTTTTCCTCCTTATGTGGGGACAACACTGAGGGGTTCCTGCTGGCTGGTCAGCATAGAATATCACTCCAATCACATTTCCATACATGGTCCCAGAGGCAAAGAAAGATGAAGTTTGGTGAAATCTAAATATGAAATTAATTTGATTTTTCTGGCAATTGCCCTCCATTATTGACAGTTCTCCCTTCCTGCTTATCAGCAGACATTTCAGCTCCACTCTAGGTAGATTCCACATGTTCCAGTCTGTCCACTTTAGGCCTCTAATCCCATCCCGAACCTTCACCTTCCTATCACCAGTGAAGGACACTTTGCAAGGGAGCTGGCAGGTTGTTTGCTCTCCCTCTTCCACCTCACCTAAAGGAGCCACAGTCCAGAAAAGCCCCCTCCCTGTCCTTCTAGAGTGCAATTCCTCCAGTATGTTAGCCAGGACAGGAGGGGAAGCCAAAGACTTTTTTTTACTTGTTGCTATTGGTGCCTCCCACGATGGGTCATCTAATGGCCCTGAGAAGCATCAGTTATCCTGACGCTGTCCTCCTTGGGGACAGGCATGCAASAGCTGACTTTCTCATAGGAGAAATGTGAATCCTGTCCAGAAGTACCCCCCACAGCCTCACAGCTGGGGTCTGACTTAGCATACTGCATTTTGAGCCCTGGCAAACCAACCCACACGTGACCACCCCAGCAGAGTCTATTTGATCTGTGTGGCGAAAGCTTGTGCCTTCTCACCATGCCCAGCAGAGGCAGTACCCAAGGCCTGCAGGGTCTGCCTGGCCAATTCTCTCCTGCCTTGTGTGGTGGGCCTCACCCTGATCCTCAATAAGGCACTGAGCTCTGCCTTCTGCGGGTGCATCCATGTCATCTGTCTACAATAGTGTCTGCCACCTTTTTTTTTTTTTCTACTTCCACCCTAATCTGCACACCTGGCAGGTCTCCTTTCATCTTTCAGGTCCTGCTTTCGATGCAGCTTCATTTGAGAAGCCAAGCCTGATGCCTAATGCTCCACTCTGATTTAGGACTGGCTGTTATGTGTTTATATAAAACCCATTATTTCCCTTCACAACACTTATCACGACTTTAATTGTATAGGAATTTAAGTCATTATCTATTTTCCTTCAGGAGACTGTAATTTCCTTGAGGCAGGATTCATGTGTGTCTTACTCCCCAGCTCACGGCCCGGTGTGAGTACAGCCAACACAACCCCATGAATGCGTGAGAGGAAATAAATGTTGCAATATCAGTGCATTCCTTTGGTTCCACCCAGCAAGAGGGGATTCATGTTTGAATATCTTTTAAATCTTTCTGAATTCTTGAGAGCATATTATTTTAAAGTAATGAAATACCACTTGTTGAATTCATAGTGTCCAAGTGCCAGGTGAAATGAAGTTTCATTCAGATAAACAAAAGTGTACAGTATAATTTCTTTTGCCCAGTGAACATTCACTTTGCTGTATGGGTCAAATCAGTTCAACAATTATTGAGTACCTGCCAGGTACCAGCACACTACCAAGACACTGTGGCTGAGAATATGAAACTAAAAAGCCATGATTCCTGACTTCAAGGAGTTGGCTCAGTACAGTTTGAAATTCCATTTCCCAATTTTAACTTTTATTCCCTTTCTCTCTCCCTCCCTCCTTTCATTCTTCCCGTCCTTCCTTCTTTTTCTTAACCCAAGCACCCAACTTATTTATCCCTAATAACTTGGAAAACTGAACCAAGTACAATTTTTATGAAGTGGTTTTGTGTGGTCATTTATTTTTCTCTCAGGAAGGGAGAATTCATACAGCTCCTCCTATTATGTGGGCTTGGTTTCAAGGGCTGGGTTTCAACACACGCTTTGGATAAGTCTGGGTAATGTATATGGGCCACAAAGATGTACTTGAAACATGAATGTAATGATTGCACATCGTCCCCTGTTTAGCAGGTCTGTTCTCCTTATTAACTTATGTACACAATCACAACTTTTAAGAAGCACTTATTCCTGGGACAGCTGGCTTCTGGTAGGAAACCCACATCCATTGGCCACAGGGCTGCTATACCACATGGYATTTGAGTATTGGTTAGCATCTTTGTCATTTTCAGTTTCCAGGAGATGATGGTTGTCTGCTGGTGTGCTCTGATATGCTTCTGTTTTCTGTTTATCAGAGCCTTTCAAGGAAAGGAAAAAAATTAAAAAAAAAAAATTGTGCCCTCAACCAGTTTTTATCTCCAGAAACAGCACAAAAAAACTTTGTTGTTGTTTTTTTAAGTGAAACTTTTTTTTTCCTGAAGCAGAAGGCCACCTAGTGGGGTAACTGGGGAAGGCCAACTTTGATGRTTGCATTTTACCTTTATCACTGAGGAGCTGGAGACTTTGCAGCACATAATTAAATGTTGTGAAACTCTCATGCAGTGCACAGACCTGAAGGGAGCTGTCAATCATTCGATGAATTTTTAAGTGATATATTTCTATGTATGTTTGGGAAAATGCTTAAATTTGCTTTAAACTAAGGCAAATGCAGGATGACAAGAGAATAAAAACAGGCTACAACTCTCCTCAATAGTCTTAAACTGGACTTTTAAATAGTGCACTCAGCCTACTTAAATGAATGTTAATTGGATCCAAATGAAGAACATCTGATCCTCCTGGGGCTTCCAGAGGTTTCTTCTGTCTCCTGTTTAGAGGGTACTTGATATGTTCATCCARGGAATCAGATAAAAAATGATTTGAAAGCTTTGAATTGATGACGAATTTAGGGGAATCCATCTTCATCTTAAAGACCACATTAATTGAATTCTAAAGCTGGAAACCACCTGAGAAACTAGGGAGTCCATTCCTTTATATTGTATGTGAAGAAAAAAAAAAGACCCAGAAGACCAAATCATTTGTTCACTGTTAATTACTCCTTTTCTTCAGAACCTATTTTTTCTCTCTGTGATTCAGGGAGAATCACAATGTTCAGTTTGAAAAGTGCTTTCCTTGTACCTCTTTATGAAATTGTGCATGCGTGTGAGTGTAACAGGYACACGTGTACCCCCTCCCAAAGCATATGATAACTGGAGAGTATGTGAGCAGTCAGTTAGCCTTGACCCTCCCTTGAGATGAAAAATGATAGAGGCCCAGAGAGGACAAGAATGGCTCACTCCATTTCACAAGTAATCATCCCCCAAACTCAGCTTTGAACTCTGCTCTTTAGATGCTTGGTATGGTACTTTTCCTGAGATGCCAGGCTTCCTCTCGTTTCGTGTCATGGCTGCTATCTGGGGAGCATACATATGCAATTAGCAAGAGAAAATTTACTTGAGAAGTATACTAACTAGAATTCTTAAAAACATAGAACTTGGTTAAGTTCTTCATATCTCCTTTAGGACTTCAGATTGAGCATATTTTGCACTTTCTTCTGTTGCTTTCAGAAATGAGTAATGCATTTCCGTTTTATTTCTTTTTCTCCAACCCCAGCATATCAATAATGATCATATTCATGGAGAGAAAAAGGAGTTTGTGTGCCGGTGGCTTGACTGCTCAAGGGAACAGAAACCCTTCAAAGCCCAGTACATGTTGGTAGTGCATATGAGGAGACACACGGGCGAGAAGCCTCACAAATGCACTGTGAGTACACGAGTGGGTAGCAGGCAGGCAACCTGGGTGTCCCCTCCCATGGGTGGTTGTGTGGCCATGACTTCAGCTTGAGGGAAGCAAGGTTGGTAAGAAGAGAGAAGGTGCATCATCTATTGACGAATATCTGGGTTTTTGAGCTGCCTCATTAGACAGGATAGCAGGCAGAAGGCTGGTACTGGGAATGAGCTCTTGGCCATAGTACCGGCCCCAGCCCAATAACTCATCACAGCAGAGGCTCAAAAAGCAAAGGGAGGCGCCAGCTTCCAACTTAAAAAGTTTAAGTTGACTTTTTAAAAAGAATCGCTGCATAGGTTGAACATCCAAAATAAAAAAGAAAGGAAAAAAATCCAAAAATGCTCCAAAATTTGTAAAAATTTAGCCCCAATATCATGCTAGAAGTGGAAAATCTCACACCTGACCTCATGTGACTGGTTGTAGTCAAAACACAGGTACAYTAAAAATACTATACAAAATTATCATCAGGTAGTGTATATAAGGTGTATATATAAAGAATAAATGGATATTCCCAAATCTGAAAAAAAATCCAAGACATTCTGATCCCAAGTATTTTGGGTAAGGGATACTCAGCCTTCACCTGATTTTAAAGTTTCTCCTGGTTAGTCTCCAGTGACACAGTGTGGACTTCAGGAGTGGGCCAGGGCTTCCATGAAGTTGAACATTCTCTCAGTGATGTACCCGGAAGGCACACTGGGCCCTACTCAGCCTTGGTACTTTACATCTTAAAGGCCCTTTACAAACATGATCAAATTCCAGGTCTTTGTATGGACACAAAGCCATATTAATGAACTTTGTGCTGAATCTGAAATCAGTGGGAATTTGAGGAGATCAATGAGCAGATAATGAAATCCATTGTCCACATTGAGCGGTCTATAAAAAAAAAAAAAAAAAAAAAAAACTTCAAGACTTTTATTGGCACTGAAAATGCTTTATCTTGAACTGCCCCAAGCCACATCTGAATCCCAATAAATACAGAGTTTAGTAGAGTTTTTGTTCCGTGGTTTTGAAAAGCTGCTGACCCTTGAAACGTCAGGTTTTCATCCACTTTGAGGGAGGGTTAGGCATAAGCTGCCGGTGCATTGTGTGGAGTAATCCAGATTTACCTGTTGTCCCCAGTTTGAAGGTTGCACAAAGGCCTACTCGAGACTAGAAAACTTGAAAACGCACTTGAGATCTCACACTGGAGAGAAACCATACGTCTGTGAGCATGAAGGCTGCAACAAGGCCTTCTCAAATGCCTCTGATCGCGCCAAGCACCAAAACAGAACACATTCCAATGAGGTAAGCATCCATGGGCCCTAAGCTCATGGGCAGAAACAAAGAACCCTCATGAGGGTATCCTTAGAAAGGCAGGCGTATTTTCCTATTTTTCTTTTGACTGCTCCCAGCGTAAGCTGGCTCCAAGAGGACAGGTGGAGGCTTGGGCTTGAAAGTGGGGCAGAAAACTGGACCTCAATTGGGGCATGATACAGAGGAAGCAGGAACTATTAAATTGCACAATTCCATGGCATTTAGTATACTCATGAACTTAGTTTCATGTTGTTCAGAACTGCCACCTACTGGTCAGACAGTACAAGCATTTAACTTGGATTTCCAGCCACTGGCTCTGCTCAGAGTAATAAGTCTATGGAGTTCAAAGGGTGACTCTGTAAGCACCAAAGATAGATTTAGAAGGAGCACATTGACAAGTGATAGCTTACTGCTGAAATAGCCAGTTTTATTTGCTTTCTCTAAGTGGTATCTTAAAATATGTTATTTAAAAAAAAAAAAAAAAAAAAAAGACAAAGCAACCAGCCATAGCTCAAATACAGTTTCCAGACGTTCTGAATTCCAAAGGATCTTGGAAGATATTCTCAGAAACCCAGTTAGTTATTTAAGATAATTTATTGAATGAAGCTTCATGGTAATAGGTGGTTCCTGGGGTGATGCTCTTGTCTTTAGATAGTCATCCTCTCAGGTTGCAGAGAAGCAAGTTGGTATCAGTGAATTTTATTTTGCTTATATTTTGAGGCATATCTACCCACAAATCTGTAACTTCTTGGAGTTCTAAGTCAAATGCTAGCTCCTCTCTTGAATGAATCAAGAGACTAATACCAAGGTTCCTCCCATTTTTGGTAGAAATGGGAGAGCCATGTAGAAACACAACACATATCTCAGTCTATAAAACTTGTCATCACTTTGCTTGAAATGTGTTAAAGAAGGAGGATTTTGTACACATAAGATCTTGTAGTGACTGTCATGACCTCAACAGATGCAGATAGAGAGAGAGAGAGAGAACATCTTGTCAAAATATAGTGAGCTATTCCACTTGGGGCTATTTGGCCTTAAGGTCTTCACCAAGTTTTCTTTCAGCTGAACTGATAGAACAAGAACAAAATGGTTTCTAATAGGATTAACCACACATTCCAAAAAGCACACTCACACCATATTCACACTTGCAAGTCCATGTACACCAACTCTTCTTCTTCTTCTTCTTCTTCTTCTTCTTCTTATTATTATTATTATTGTTTTAGCTGTAGATGGACACAATACCTTATTTTATTTATTTATTTTTATGTGGTGCTGAGGATTGAATTCCGTGCCTCACATATACTAGTCAAGTGCTTTACCACTGAGCTACAACCCCAGCCCACACCAACTCTTTTTGAAAAGGTTAAACTGGACTAAGGAAATGAGAGACATTTGGAATGTCTTATTGATTTAAAGGAGATGACACATTCTGTTCTTTGCGTCAAAAATGCTTTTACTGTGTGCAATAGCTGCATTATCATCTGTTGCACATTCTTTTTTGGTACAAAATTTTAGGGAGTCTAAAGAATAGGCAAATGCACAGAGACAGGTAGTAGATGAGTATTTGCCAAGTAGCTGGTGGAGGGGAGTAGGGGCGACTGCTAATGGGTACAAGGTTTCATTTTGGKGTGATGAAAATGTTCTGGAATTAAGCAGTGGTGGTGATTGCATAACACCAAGAGTGTACTAAATGCCATGGAATTGTGCAATTTAAAAGGATTATTTTGCTACATAAATTGTATTTTGATTTCAAGTTTTTAGGGGATTCAACTAATTAATGTATTTAACTGTATTTCATATATTTGACTACAAGAGAATGTTCATTCCTATAGAATTTAATTAATTAGTTAATTAATTTTGGGTACTAGGAATTGAACCCAAGGACATTCTAGCACTGAGCAGCATCCCCAGCCTTTTTTATTTTTTTATTTTGAGACAGGCCTCACTAAATTTCTGAGACTGGTCCTGAATTTGCCACTCTCCTGCTTCAGTGTCTAATATTGCTGGGATCACTGACATGTGTGGCTGCGCCCAGCTACAGTTTATAGATTTTGGACCAACTTTCTCTCACATTGTGAAGAAATTCAGGCAGTGGATATGTTAGGATTAGCAGTGCACATATATGTTTCCTAAGGGTTTTTTTTTTTAATCTTTTCATTGACTTAAAATATGTGACTACATCTGTTTGCTTTAGTCAAGTGTGTTGTAATTGAGCTTATCTTCTGTGAGGTCAAAAGTTCAGTGTTATAAGAATTGAATACCTTATTATACTAAAAAAATACCTTTTTTTATCAAGTTTGAGCCGTTAAACATTTTTTAACCTTAATTATAAATACATAATTCAAATTTTATTYATAAACATGTAAATCATTTTTTTTCTCCATTCTCTATGCAAATCTTTGGCCTTGTGCATGAAATGATAGATCATCTAAGAGATACCCAAAATAAGTTTGTTCAGGAAATCCAGATTTGGTAATAAGATAATACTAGGTAAATCAAGATAATCAGTTTCATCTAATTTAATTGCTCTCTTACTTATAACTTCATTTATTCACTCAACAAATATTGACAGCTAGTTTTGTGCTGAGCCCTTTGCTATCCTAGGTCTGGCAAAGAATTTAATAAATTAGAAATAGATTAGGAAGGGTTTGGGTTAATCACATGACCTTTGTGGCTGCCACAAAATTTATGAACCCTGTTGTAGTATTATCCTATTAGATACTAGTTAAATTATCTAGCATTTTTCTCATTCTAAGCCATTCAGGTACTTCTCTGTCTATTAGGCTGTCCTGCCCTTCAGGGACCCTGGACTGTAGCAGTGGCAGTTCTGACCCCATAGTTCACATTCCTCCCAAAGTTACCTCTGAAGAACTTTCCTCGCTCTGATTCGATTGGATGTCCCTCTCCCAAAAGCTCCAATGGTACTTTCTTTCCTGCAGGAAAAGTTTAGACTCCCTAAACTTGTGTCAGTACCCATTCTCACTCCTCTCGAGCCTGCCCTTCCGGTCCTGACCTCTCACTATCATGACTATGAATGGAACCTTTCAGAAGCCTGTGCTGTCCAGTACATGCCAACATGTGTGATGTGGTCCTGCTGCTGGAACTCTGCTCAGGACACTCTTTTTGGTATCCTCCCGTCCTCCTTTTAATCTCTGGGAATTTTATTCTCCTTTCAGAACCCAACAAAACTACTTTCTCCTAATAAAAGGTCCATCTGTTGAGGGCTTACCCTGTGTCATGCATTGTGGTAAGAACTTGAGGGTCATGGTCTCATTTGGCAACTAACATAAACTCACAACCTGAGCTTTAGACCCAGAGACAGAAACTTARTAACTGACCCCTTCCAGGATCATCCCAACTGAAAAGAGATTCCTCCTTTGTCTGCATCCTTAGTATTCACACTTTACATTGTGGATAATTACATGGTATCTTATTTTTCATACCAGAAAAAGAGATTTTTATATATCAAGTGCAAGGATTACATTAAGGATTTTATATTCCCCAAGGTTAAATTCTGCAATATACAATATTGGGATCACAGAACATTGCATGGAATAGGAATCATTGAATGTTTAATGAAAAAAATTTATTTGGGTCAATTCTACAAAGTAGGTAGAAAATGTATCAGCTGATTTCACCCASTGCCTATGAGTACAGTGAGTTAAAATGGTAACTATCATGTCAAAAGTCGAATACTGAGCACATGAATGATGCTACTCAGTCTGACAACATATTTTTAGCCTATATATGAATATATAATTGCAATTACTGATCACAACAAAATTTGGAGGCCAAACTATATAATTGGGCTAATATGCTTCTCTGTAAGACTTTCATGTCCTAAGCTTGTATTGTTATGGTTTTTGTGTAGATGGATAATGTGTATGTTCACATGCACGGGCACATAGTTGCAGGTGTACTAGTGTGTGCTGTTATTTTTGGCAATACAGGTTCTGAAYATTCTTGTTCTCATTAGACATCAACTATCTCCACATTTCTAAATCAATCCATTTTATTCATATGCATATATTTATAGAAATGTAGTAGCACCGCCTTGTACTCCATCTTCCCTTTGCACACAAATGCCCCATGCACCCATTCTGCCTGCTCATGGAACAATTTGTCATGGCAGTGCCAGGAACAAGCATAGAGCCTATGTCAGAACACTGGAAGGTAATGGCACCAATCAACAGAGCCATTCTTCTACCCTAATGCATAGAATTTGATGCGCTCATTTCATTATATATATGTGTATGTGCTGCAATTCACACAAGATCCTGAGTAGACGTAATTCAAGTTAATGGGAATCAATTCTACCCAGAGGAATCTCATATTTGAAGGTGAAGTCTCTCAGGATAATTTTCGGAATCTTTGCTGCACTGCATTAGGGCATTTCAGCATTTTTAGTTCACACTCAGTCTGTTCTTGGGCTTTTAGTGAAAAAGCATCTTTTAGACATACATTCTACAAGACAGGGCATCTTTTTAAATGTAATAGATAAATTATATTAATCATGGTTTTTATAACGATTGCTTACCTAATGGCTCATCCTCTGGTATACATGGATATAAATGTATACAGTCGTCTCTAGGTATCTGCAGATTATTTCCTGGTCTCTCCCAGATACCAAATCCAAGAATGCAAAAGTTTCTTATATAAAATGACATAGTATTTCCATACAACTTATGTATATCTTCCCATATATTTCAAATCATCTTTAGGTTACTTATGATGTCTGATACTGTGGAAATAGTTATTATACTACATTATTTAGCAGATAAAGACAAGAAGAAAGTTTGTGCACACCAAGTTTTTTTTTTTTTTTAATATTCCCAATCTGTGATTGGTTGAATCTGCTAATGCAGAACCTTTGGATATAAAGGACCAACTTTGTTTACACAATCATCCATGAATAGATTATTTTGGAGCCAATTGGACAAAAATCACAATTTGGGTGTTGATCATGAGCAGAGGCCAGCAGTTTGAATAAATATCTAGCTATTAGCATCCATATAATKTTTATAACTATATCTAGAGACTTGACCACTGACTCACATAGAAAATGAAATGAGCATGAAATAATTTATAGACTTGAGCACTCAGGAAAGAAGCACAGACCAGGAATCCTGGTTCCCAGCACACTATTGAGCTGCCTTGGGCAAGGCTTGACCGTTTTGAAGACCAGAGAGGTTCTGGACCTCTTGAGCCCTGAATGTCCCCACGCAGTTGCCGTCCTACCCAGAGGAACACATTTTAGCGACATCTAACATTGGAGAGGCTAAAAGCAATCTTTTATTATTATTATTATTATACCTATACGTAAATAGTCCATTTCCAAAGCACATAATGGTATTAACTACCCCCCCCAAAAAAAAGGATTTACATAAAGAAATTTCTTGACACAACTTCTTCTGAAAAGTGTGCAGCATTCTCCTGATTAGATGATGAGAATCCCTTAAGCCTCCTTCCATCATCATCATCATCACCAGATGTCTCCTGAGTGCCTGTCATGGTACCATGGTACTTCTTCCCACTCACAGCATAAATGCTTCCAAGAACAGGAAGGCAATTTACACATTCTTAGCTCTCCCCGCGCTCTCTTGAAAATAATAATCTATTTAGCCAGATTCTGTGGACACTGGACCATGTCCAAACGGCCTTATTAAACCACTAGTTCCTACAGGTATTTGAGTACCACTGAGCTTTGTAAAAGTGTTTTGAAAGAATTAAAATTGTAATGAGCAACCACAGAGGACTGTGGGGCTGGAGCTTAATCACTTTTATAACAACCTATTGTGTTTCTGTTGGATTTGGCAGAAACCTTATGTGTGCAAAATCCCAGGCTGCACTAAACGTTACACAGACCCAAGCTCCCTTMGGAAACACGTGAAGACTGTGCATGGCCCTGAGGCTCATGTCACCAAGAAGCAGCGTGGGGACATGCATCCTCGGCCCCCGCCTCCGAGAGATTCTGGCAGTCATTCACAGTCCAGGTCACCTGGCCGGCCGACTCAGGGAGCCCTTGGGGAGCAGAAGGACCTCAGCAACACTACCTCAAAGCGGGAGGAGTGCCTCCAGGTGAAGACGGTCAAGGCCGAGAAACCCATGGTATGTCATTCACTCTCCTGATTTTCCCAGAGTTGGCCGAGGGTCATTTGAAAGAGCCCAGCAGGGCATTCAGAGAGACAAGACCATTCCCATCCTCACTGCATCGGGTCACTCTGATTTGAGGAGGTCATGAGCCCAGTAACCTGGACTGCTTACTTGAAGTTTATCTGCTTAGAATAACTCTACTCAGAAAAGAGCTTCCAAGTTTCCTAACTGATTTTTGAAATTGATCCAGAGACATACCATACCACTCATGGCAGGCAGAGACACGACTGTGTATCTTGTCAATGTGCCTCGAAGGTACAAAATCATTTATTGAGCCTTTCTGTAAACATGTTTTCTGTCTTCTTTGTCCTGGTGACTCAAAGGTAAATAAGCTACAGTCCGTAACCTTTAGGGGTATGCAGTCAAGTGGGAGAGACAGATTGAAAAACAAATACCACTCAGGGTGATGGGAGCTTGAACATGGGTCTTTGTAAGGAGCCTTCAGGAGAGAGGTGCACTCTGAGGTCAGAGGCCATGAGGACATGGAATTTAGCACTCCCAGTTGGCAAGAGTGAGGCTTGAGGAAGGAAGGGCAGGCAGAAATGCACCAGTCTCTGGGCCTCACAGGGATGCACAGGAGCAAAGTGGGCAGGAGAGGAAGTGTAGGTTTTGCTAGCAATGGGGAATGCAAAGGGTTGATGTTTACAAACATCTACTCTAGAATCAGAGTAGAGATTGGATACACTGGGACCATTTCTCTTGTGCCTGAGTCTATGAGATTGAGAATGAAGAAGGGTTTTGAAAAATTCTTGTGATCAAGCATTATTTCAGTCTAGTAATTATTAGAATATATGAGCAATACTATTCTTTCAGTTGCTTTCAGACTTCACTTGGTGATTTTGTGTCATGTATGTATTTTTATAAAGCACCTAAAATTTCAGAAGGATAAAAAGAAAAATTAAAAGAATACATATGAAAGAAGATTCAGTGCATTTATATTGGTCATGCATACAATGGATTTAATTACACATATATATTGGGATAAGTTTGCCACTCTGACCTGTGGAAGAAATGTACCAGATAGAAATAATATGCCTAGCTTTCTGGGGACAAGGAAATGGTTGGATGGGCAAATTTTACTAAATTTAAGGAAKAATTTTTTTTAAAATGTGAGAAGTCCAGCAATTGAAAGAATTCTATGAATTCACCGGTGAGTTCACTATTCAGAAGTACACGTCGGCTGGAAATAATTGCACATACCATCCCAGCATTGGTAAGGAAACTACGTTTTAATGATTAACCAGGTTTGTCTTTAAATTCTAGAGTCTTAAAAAGTGACATTAARGTTAGCCAAAAATAACACAAATAGGATATTCAGCTTTATCATCATTTCTCATGGTATTTTGCATTTATAAAATATCTTAATAAAATGTGTATATATACGAATGATCATGATATTTTTTAATTTAATTGATTCATACAAAAGTGCTTTATATACTTTTTTGGAGGTGAGCATGTATCTATTTCATAAAATAAAGTCTACCTATATAATAACTGTGCAAAATATTCAGCAGTTTATTCTCAAATGTTTAAGGAAAATGATTTTGTGGTCTCCTAGATTATGTCATCAAACACTATGATTTATGTTCTTAGACCATTCTAAGAACCCAGAGTATCTTATTTCTTCAATGTGCATCCCAGGCTCAAGAAAGTCTTGTTTTGCTAGAGAATTTCAACAAAGCTAGCAGGTGTCCAGGGATCTTTTGTGATTAATCATGTGAATTTCAATTAATGTAAGTCATATATTAAAATGCATTCTGGAAAAAAGGTTTATGCAAGAATATGGGAAATAAATTACATTGTCAAAAGCTAAAAAAAAAGAAAAAGAAAAAAGAAAGTTTGCCCTCTTTYCCCCAAACACCCATTACAAACACCCATTATATAAAAAGAAAATTGGTAGAAATAAATATTTGTCATGATTTGGTTCAGTGACATTCGAGATGCCCCAATGGGTGAAATATTTTATAAACTAAGTCATAGAAACATAAGATCATGAGATGTTTTACAGGGAAGAAACTGAAGCTCCCTGAGGTTAATAATGTAATCACATTCCTACAGTAGACTATTTTATGTATGCATGTATACACACATTTAAATGTATGCAGATATTTTCATAAACATTTACTAATGGAGATGAAATTTACATTCCTAATGCTTTCTTTAAAAAAAAACATGTCTTTAATTTTATCATCATGCTATAAATTAAATTCTTTCTTCTTTTTTTCTTATTAATGCAACCTCTCTTCTGTCTAATGCTCCTAAATGTCTTGTTCTCACTTCCTAAGGACAGTGGGTAATAAGGTGAGGGAATTTTGGCTTGTCTGTTCTTTTAGTTTCGTTTTCATTTGAACATTCAACTTTTTCATTTCATTTTTCTTGAGTTTTTGTGGCTTGGTGATATCTTTGGTAGTGAGCATTACTCAGCTATGTTTCAAATAGAGAAGCAATGTGTTTTGAACGCTCAGCATGTGGAAAATGTGGAGTTTTGATTGTTAAATTCATTGTTCCGTTTGTCTAGGTTTTCATAAGAAATCATACTGGAGTGGACCAAGCAGATGTTAGATCCTACTAAATTACTGTACTGACTAGTATATATTCCATCTTGGACCTTCGAAGAAGGTCTAGATACATCTTGTGTTAGCAATTTAACCTCTATTCAAATGTCAGAGCTCACGTAAGCAGTTTTCTGATTGTAAGTGCTTATGCACCTTCTCGCACACTCTATGGAAGTGTGTATTGGCATGTGTGTGCATGAATACTCATATACACAGGTTCACATACACACACATTCTGATTTGATAGCCCAAGAGTGAAAGACATCCAAAGCTCTGGAAACTCCAAGTACATTAGGAAGGAGCAAGTGGTCTGGCAACCCAAGACTTTGCTAAGGCAAAAAATTATGTAAGGCTTTACATACCCACGATCAGACTTGCATCTTTCTTCAATCTGCTTGGTTGCCCAGGACAGAGTTAGTGTATCATATGGCACTCACTTASAAAGTGTTCATTTGCTTGGATATATGTACTGTGATAGCAGGGGGGAATAAAAGTTAAGGGCTCTACTGAGAAAGCCTCTTTCTACAGACCTTCATGCCAACATTGTGTTTTCCATCTTAGATTAACTGAGTAGTCTCCAGGAGGAAGTGGAGTTCTCTTTCCCTGGAAGTTTGCTCTGTTAGCTGTTGTCAGGAGCTCTGGTTTTTATAATAACCCCGGAGAAACTGCTGCAGAAGCATGGAAGTAGCCAGCTTAGACTACCGCGTCTGGCTGCTCCATGAACTTTGTGACTTTGGGCAGTCACTGACTTTTCTGAACATCACTTTTCTTATGCTTATGAAAGGATTTGACTGTTTATCAACCAGGACACCACTGGAATTTTAGATAGAACAGTTTGATGTTGTGCCAACTGCCCTGAACATTGCAGGCCCTTTTATGCAGTGCTCCCCAGACACTGGGATAGTCAGGCTTTCCACCCTCTATTTCCAGGAACCCTGGGGTGGGGAGAAGATGATACTTTCCCTGATTGAGAACCACTGGGTTCGATTAAGTTCCCATTATTTGCATARTTTTTTTCTAGAGTCCACTTGTGTGTGGTGAGGGGAATATTTCCCAGTTCTCCTAGAATGCCCAAATGGCACACCAAGGAGAACTATAAAATCAAACCTACCGATGGAGGTAGTGTAGTAGGCCTCAGTGCCATCGATGAAACCCCAGACTCCTGACAGCTATGGGTTGCTGCCTTTTTTCCCCTGTATATGGCAGAAGCAAAGTGACTGAAGTTTTACCTCTTATAGCTACCTTGATGCACAACCAGCTTCAGGTTCTACAATAGCAAAAAAGAAAAAAAAAAGTAAAAGTGGGGAGGAAGGATTACAAAGCTTAGGYACCAGCTCGGAGGGGCTTTTCTTAGAAAGTAATGTGTCCTATCAAGCATATATGTTTTAGCTGAGCAAAAAACAAAAACAAAACAACCCCTACAATTAGAACCACCTGAGACAATAGTTACTAAAGTTTTGTAATCTAATTATTATTACCCAGATGTTTTTATACTTCTGTGATCTCTGGGTTTCATATTGATTCCCAACAATAATCCATAATATAAACTGTCCCCATTTTATAGATGAGGAAACTGAGGTTGAGAGTGCCTTTGTCATTTGCCCAAAGCATAAAGTCCTGGCAGTAGGATTGGAAATAAAGAAGCTGTGTTAGCAGAGTTGGCATTCAGGACAGGATTTCATTTCTGATATCATGCTGGTCACACCACATCTAATCTTCTCTGCTGTTCATTGCCTCCTCCTGCACATCAGCCTGGTGATCCATCAGTCATTCTGGCCCCAAAGGCCACCTCCATCCACTGAAACATAGTTTTTCTTCTCATTCAACCAGCTGATAACCTGGAGGTCTTCACCTGCATGAGCTGTCATTATTGGTGTCCTTTCCTTTGTTCTTCCTGGTGACAGTTCTTTCCTTTCCTCTTGACCTCAACAGACATCTCAGCCAAGCCCTGGTGGTCAGTCTTCATGCAGCAGCCAACAGTCCCCCATCAGCAACTATTCCAACAGTGGGCTCGAGCTTCCTCTGACCGATGGAGGTAGTGTAGCAGACCTCAGTGCCATCGATGAAACCCCAGTCATGGACTCGACCATTTCCACTGCAACCACAGCCCTTGCTTTGCAAGCCAGGAGGAACCCTGCAGGGACCAAATGGATGGAGCACGTAAAACTAGAAAGGCTAAAACAAGTGAATGGAATGCTTCCTCGACTGAAYCCCATTCTACCCCCCAAAGCCCCTGCGGTCTCTCCTCTCATAGGAAATGGTGAGTCCCACATCGGAGCATGCCTCCCCTCAGGTGTTTTCTCTTCTTTCCAATGTGGCCAGAGCACTGTGAGAGGAACCAGGGTCCTCGCTTTTATATTTGCTGGTTTCACCACCAGTCTCAAGGTTATGCTAATTTACTCTGCTCTATGAATGTTGAACCCATTTGAGTTGCCTTTCTGAAGGATCCATATCTTAAAAGTAGACAATAACAGAATTGTACTAAAACAAAAAGTAAGACTGTGAATAACTCATATTCTAATGGTGAAATCATAATTATTCAACCAGGGTAAGAAAATCCCAGGAGAAGATGCGTTAATGAGGGGCTGGAGTTGTGGCTCAGAGGTAGAATGCTTGCCTAGCATGTGTGAAGCACTAGGTTCGATTCTCAGCACCACATATAAAAAATAAATAAAAGTCCATTGACAACTAAAAAATTTTTTTAAAAAAGATGCATTAATGATTAGCATTCTGGYTTCCAAAATCTAAAACCAAGAGGTTAGCCACTACTTTCATTTATGTTGGCTAAGTTCAAGACAAACATTATTCTCCGTGGTCAGCCCTGATGTTAACTTTTACTTCTGAGATGACACTGTCTGAAYGGCATCAGGTGTTTATAGGATGTGAAATAAACAGGAAACCCGGCATGTGGCATGTGATTGTGAAATTCCTGGAATACCTTGGGCCCCTGTACTTGCATGGATCCTGAGTAATTGTGTATGTCGCAAAAGTCTTGTCCTTGCGCACCTGTAGAAAAGCTTAATCAAATTTAGGGGGAAACAAGGGAGAGAATTGAACAACAGCAGATGAGGTCGAGAGGGAAGATGGGAGGGGAGGGAAGGGGGGATAATAGGGGATAGGAAAGGTAGCAGTATACAACAGTCACTAATATGCCATTATGTAAAAATGTGAGTGTGTAACCGATGTAATTCTGCAATTTGTATTTGGGGTAAAAATGGGAGTTCATAACCCAATTGAGTCAAATGTATGAAAGATGATATATCATGAGCTTTGTAATGTTTTGAACAACCAATAAAAAAAATATTAAAAAAAATTTAGGGAGTAATTGTTAGTGCTTTAAACCAGAGATTTACAAACTACAGCCTGGGGGTTACATACAGCCTGCCACTTATTTTTGTAAAAAAAAAAAATATATTACTGGCACCCAGCCACACCTAGTCCTTCACTATTGTCTGTGGCCACTTGAATGCTAAACTGCAGAGTGGAGAGTAATTGTGCTAGAGACCACAATGACCTCAAAAGCAGAAAAAAGTTACTACCAGCCCTTTACAGAAAACGTTGCCTGATACCTTGCTTAAGTTATCCTGAGTCTCACATCCTCTCTCCTTTCCTTCCCTCCACTTTTGTCTCTCCAGGCACACAGTCCAGTAACAACTGCAGTTCGGGCGGGCCCATGACTCTTCTTCCGAACAGAAGTGAGCTCTCCGGGGTGGACCTCACYATGCTGAACATGCTCAACAGGAGGGACAGCAGCACCAGCACCATCAGTTCTGCCTACCTGAGCAGCCGCCGCTCCTCGGGCATCTCGCCCTGCTTCTCCAGCCGCAGGTCCAGCGAGGCATCGCAGGCCGAGGGACGGCCCCAGAACGTGAGCGTGGCGGACTCCTACGACCCCATCTCCACGGACGCCTCACGCAGGTCCAGCGAGGCCAGCCAGGGCGACGGGCTGCCCAGCCTGCTCAGCCTCACTCCTGCCCAGCAGTACCGCCTAAAGGCCAAGTACGCTGCTGCCACGGGAGGGCCACCACCCACGCCCCTGCCGCACATGGAGAGGCTGAGCCTGAAGACCAGGATGGCCCTACTCGGGGACAGTAGGGAGACGGGCGTGACGCTGCCTCCTGTCCACCCTCCGCGGAGATGCAGCGACGGGGGTGCCCACAGCTACGGCCGTCGCCATCTGCTGCCTCATGATGCACTGGGCAATGGCGTGAGGAGAGCCAGCGACCCTGTGCGGACCGTGTCGGAGAACCTTACCCTACCCAGGGTTCAGCGTTTCAGCAGCCTCAACAGCTTCAATCCTCCGGGTTTGCCTCCATCTGTGGAAAAGCGAAACTTAGTGCTTCAGAATTACACCCGGCCTGAAGGCAGCCAGCCCCGTCACTTCCATACGTCCCCCTGTCCTCCCAGCATCACCGAGAACGTTACCCTGGAGTCTCTGACCATGGACGCCGATGCCAACTTGAACGACGAGGACTTCTTACCGGATGACGTGGTGCAGTATTTAAATTCCCAGAACCAAGCAGGGTATGGGCAGCACTTGCAGAGCGCCATCTCAGACGACAGCAAGGTATCCCATGGGCCCAGCGACTTTGACCCACCTGGGCTACCAGACAGCCACATTGGCCAGCAGTACCATTCCCTGGAGCAGCCTTGCACGGAAGGCAGCAAAACCGACTTACCTATTCAGTGGAATGAAGTCAGCTCTGGAAGTGCAGACCTGTCCTCCTCCAAGCTAAAATGTGGCCAGCAGTCCAGGGTGCAGCAAGCCCGAGCTTTTGGGTTATATAACAACATGGTGGTCCACCCTCAGAATCCATGGAGGGGTGAGAACAGCCCTGCAGGGGGATATCAGACCCTGGGGGAGAATGGCAGCTCCTACAGTGGCCCAGAGCACTTGGTGATACACAGTGGCAGGGGCACTGGCATGAATGGAAATACCTTCCATGAACAGTCCTATAAAGCCCAGCAGTATGGGAGCTGTCTCAACAGGCAGCCAGTGGCCCCTAGTGCTCTAGACAGTACCTGCAGTGCTGGGATACAAGGTTCGAAGCTGAAAAGCACCACCATGCAAGGGAATGGGGGTCCGCTGGATTTTGGCCTGTCTGCGGCACCAAATGAGTCAGCTGGCAGCGCAGTGAATGGCATGCAGACCCAAGACCCAATAGGACAAGGGTATCTCCCTCACCAGCTACTCRGCGACAGCATGCAGCATCAGGGGGCAGGCCGCCCCAGTCAGCAGATGCTAGGACAGGTTAGTGCTACCTCACACATCAAYGTCTATCAAGGGCCAGAGAGCTGCCTACCTGGGACTCACAGCATCAGCAGCCAACCATCAAGCTTGGTAGTTGTCAGGGGCTACCAGCCGTGTGCCAGCTATGGGGGCAGCAGGCGCCAGGCTATGCCGAGGGGCGGCCTCACTCTGCAGCAAGGACAGCTCAGTGACACAAATCAAGCCTGCAGGGTGAATGGCATCAAGATGGAGATGCAAGGACAGCCCCAGCAGCTCTGTTCTAATATGCAGAATTACTCTGGTCAGTTCTATGACCAAACCATGGGCTTCAGTCAGCAAGACACGAAAGGCGGTTCATTTTCCATTTCAGATGCCAACTGCCTGCTACAGGGAGCCGGCGCCGAAAACTCTGAATTACTTTCCCCAGGTGCTAACCAGGTGACAAGCACAGTTGACAGCCTCGACAGCCATGACCTAGAAGGGGTGCAGATTGATTTTGATGCCATCATAGATGACGGGGACCACTCCAGCCTGATGTCAGGGGCCCTGAGCCCAAGTATCATTCAGAATCTTTCCCATAGTTCCTCCCGCCTCACCACACCAAGAGCGTCCCTCCCATTCCCAGCCCTATCTGTGAGCACCACCAACATGGCTATCGGGGACATGAGTTCTTTGCTGACCTCCCTCGCGGAAGAAAGCAAATTCCTTGCAGTTATGCAATAGGCGTTAGGCAAGAAAGACCGCAAACAGACGTAAAACTTTAGGAGTTGAAAGATTAAATTGACTCCGTTTTTGGCTGGTTTGTTTTTTTTAGTTCTGTATGTATTTTAGCAATCTCATCTCATCAAACTGGGATGTGTTTCAAGTATATTCCTTTTATGGAAAAGGACTCTGAAAAACCCTAAGGTATTCTAGGGAGAAACTGTCTTCCATTTCAGTTTTGAATCAGTATTGTTACACTCAAACCACCCTCTTCTTTTTTTTTTTAACTGTAAGCCCGCCCCCTTTTTTAGTAAACCAATGTAAATGTGTGATGTGCATGTTCTTTCTTTTAGAAGAGAAGTCAAGTTAAAGGATTTGACATGTTTCTCTGTTACTCCAAGGAAAACAGAGTTAGTATGCTTGTGACCGAAGGGGTTACATGTCCAGTTTTCTTTCTTCCTTTTTTTTTTCCTTCTTTCTTACATATACTCAATGTTTTGTTTTTGTGTTTTCTATTTTTTAATTCCCACATTGGGCACAAGAATCAGAATATGGATAGTGAGTTTAAGAATCTTTCRTGGGTGCACTGTAGCATAGATAGCAGATTTTGACATGCTCCCAAACCCTAATCCAATTCAGGGCATACTTTTTTGAAAGCTACACAGAAGTGGAGACCTGGGGCTCTTGCAAATGAAAATAGTTTGCTCACAGTTTGGGTTTTAAATTCTTCCTATCCATAAGCGTGTTTGGGGTGGGTATTTCTATATGGTCAGTTCTCAGTTATCTTATTTGCCTTCTCTCTCTATCTTCACGAGCATCCAGCACTGTTTAATGCTACAGGGAGAGAGAGAGAGGACAGGCAATTGGTGACACTCAGACATGCTGCTACTTTTATTTGTTCTAGTAAGAAGTTAGGTAGATTCTAGATTGAAGCAATTGGGTAGAATTAGTTTGGGGAATACTGCTGGGCTTGCTATATTTGTTGATTAGATTCCATCACTTTCTCCATTGACATAGATAACTGAGAATTGATGTTCATAGTTCTAAGTATATAGGTATTTAAACAACCCCACAACTGGCTATACCATTAACATTTATTAATTCCACTATAGGATTTCTATTCTATGTGCCCTATTGTAAGGGATTTGTAAAATTTAGTTGTAAAAGGAAAAGCTCACATACATTGATATTGGGAATAAATTGCTTCAACCATTTTTAGCATTTGAGAACATAAAAGAAGATACTTAATAACTGTGTGTGGATACCGTTGTTCTTATTCTCTCTGTCCAGTGAAGCATCCATTTAAGAAGTTAAATGTTATATACCATTAGTCCTTATTATGGACTAGTATCTTTTCTTCTGTTTTGGATTAAAACATATAAAGATTTAAAAAGTGCAGCTACTCCCCCATGTGCAATTGATACACATAAAAGTCATACTGTGTGTGCAAAAAGAGTACATGGATTATTCAGCATATTGCTTTTAAAAATATGTAATTATTAAAAATATTAACACCTCAAGCAACCTGCTGTATTCTGTCCCCTATTAACCCCTGGAGTTGGATTTATCCAAAGTGATTCACTCTTCAATTGTGTGGCTTTGTCCCTTAATTTGTTCCTTTTAAATTAATAGAAAGACAACAATCAAGTAAAACAAAGTGATACATAATAGAAAGAATGTTAGGACCTGCCTTTTTTTTACATTTATTTTCTGTTACTTGGGCCAAGAATCTCAGCACAGAGGTAAATTTGCCATTTAAGATTTTGTGGCTAAAACTATTGGATTTGCCTTCAACTAGATGTTCCTGAGACTTAGCAGAGTAATGGTGGCAAATTTTCCTTCATGTCCTACTGTCCTTCCACAGTAGCCCCTCCTTTTAAATCAAAGGATATCTCCCATTTGGAACAGCCCATAAGCAAAAGAGAACTGATCTGAGCTCAGGACAGTAGAGTTTCTATAACTTTTCAGCTGAAAAGCAAGGTTTTTCTCTATTCCTCAGACAGGTCACCTTCTTATTACAAAATCAATGATCTGTTCCCTGAATCTGATTTTTCYGCAAACCTTACAGTCTCCAGGAACTAGGTTTATCTTGAATGCTACTATGGTTTGGCCCCGTCTTTTCCCTACTCCTGAGCAAGGAGACTGGATCCTGCCATACTGCTCTCTCTCTCCAGCAGACTTCTTTCCTGGTAGTGTTCTTGCATGGGACCTGCATTACCATAATCCTTCTTGGAAGGATGGACAGCAGTGGGGACCAGGACTATTGTCATCCTAATCATCTGCTTTTCCCTCTGGTTTCATGTTACTCTCTGATTTTCCTCCTTTAAGTTTTCTTTTCTGTCCTTGTTTTCCTTGCTGTGGCTTTGAACTTGCAGGAGACACACGTTTCACCTTAATATTTGKCCTCTCTGTATATATGGAAATCAGAAAGGAGGGAAGAAGAAAGTGCTTTCCCAGGATTTTGATGATCTGTAGTGACAGTCAAATGCAAGGAAGGTCTTGTGAAGTCACTTAGAAGTATCCTATGGGGACAAGGGATTTCTGCAGACCTGTTATCTCATATCGAAGGACCACCCACAACCTCCAACCTTCTTTCCATTTCTCTGACCTGTGCATCTAGAAAGGTAGCACTTACTCATTAATGTCACCATTTACTCTTTAATAAAAAAATGCAGGCCCATACAATCTGCATTAAACATGTTTTTATTTTTCAAGCCATTTTTACTGTCTAAAGAACAAATTAAACCACCCCTGTGCTCCTCACACATTGCTCATCCTCTTGAGCCATGAAGTTTTGATTCTTGCGATGTATGTGCCTTATTTTATGTTGATCTTGTCAATGAGAGGGACCAGTTGGTGTGGCCCAATCAGCGCGCYAAGGCTGTTTGCTCAGTGAGCCCGCAGGCAAGCGAGCAACTGTAGCAGAGTCTAAGCTTTCTTGTAACCTGGTTTCCTGTGTTGTTTTGAACTGATAGGAGGATGTTCTCTTCTGACAAGTTACCCTTGTGTATCCTGCAAATGTGTAAGATAAAATACAAGTTCATTTTTTCACCTTTTTTAGATTTTTAAAAAATAAAATGTGTAATCCTTTTTAAAAAGAAACACATGTAAATACATTTAAGTATTGTAGGCAAAGTGTTCGAATGTGACCGGCCCCGGCCTTCCGTGGAAAAGCCTGCAGCCGCTCCATGCTCTGCACCCACCTGGAGCCCAGAGCACCGCAGCCCAGACACAGATGAACTCTACCTTGACTTTCAGAACCACTTAGTCCTTTTGTAACAAAGAAAAAAAAAATAATGTTTCTTACAATGTCAATAAAAAACTCTTTGTACTGAATTTTTTTATTGGATTGTTTATTTAATACACAATTGAATAGAAAGAGTGCTTTCCTTGGAAAAATCCAGAGCCCATGTTTGGATGTAGACCCCCCACCATATAAGCTGAGTGAACTTCTGCTATAAGACTCAGATTCTGCATCCCTCAAATAGAAACTAAGATGCTGGTATGTACTGGTTGTGGTGTCCTGAGATGAGTATATCACACACACAAACATACACACAGGGATCTACTGGGGACATGCTAATCGTCATCATTATTGTGTTTCTTGTTTTTGTTGCTTTGCCAAAGTCTAATTTAGGATTRTAATAGGATTTAAGATATAATATTCTAATTCATCCCTCTTTTACATATTATTCTTCAYTACTGAGATATCCTAACACATTAAAAGAAAATCTGGCTGGGTGTGGTGGTGCACACCTGTAATCCCAGCAGCTCTGGAAGCTGAGACAGGARGATCCTAAGTTCAAAGCCAGCCTCAGCAAAAGCAAGGTGCTAAGCAACTCAGTGAGACCCTGTCTTTAAATAAAATACAACATAAGGCTGGGATATGACTCAGTGGTCGAGTGCCCCTGAGTTCAATCCACAGTACCCCCCTAAAAAAATCTGATATAACCTCAGTTAGAAATATAAGTTATTTGTCTTGTTTGTCTTTTCATGTGAGTTTGCAATATTAAYTCTAGATCACCATAAGATTCCAAAATATGGTCCCTTTCTTCCAGTAGCAGCACATCTTTTTAGCCACCTGCTCAGGATAGTTATAGGATGGTGGTCCTGTGTGTGAGTATCTCAAGGACACAGGACAGGTGTAGCCATGTAAATGTGCACTCACATGCTCACTCACACACTCACGTGCCTCTTCATGTGTCGCAGAGGAACCTTATGTCTTATGAGTGACAGACACTTCCTTKTCTGTTACCTAACAGGGTTTCCCAGCCCTAAGGATGCCTCATACTTTCCTGATTCACAGGGGAGAGTTTCCTATCCCAAACACTCTGCTTTAATAACTAGAGCTTTCACCAAAGGCATCCAAATGAATTCAGGGGAAAAAAATGAGAAAACATGAATTTATACTCTTCCTCAGGTATAAATTCTCAGCTCACAAAGATGCATGTCATGGATCAAGTCAAAATGGAAGAAATAAAGAGAAATGGTGCTAATAGAAAGGAAAATGGGAAAAGGAACAAGGGGAGGCATGTGCTATAGATGCCTTTAATCCACACGAGCTGGCAGGGGTATGGCTCACAGCTCTGCTTTAAAAAATGCCTCCTATGGAAGAAATGTGATAGAAACAGATTTGAGGTAAATATATATATATTTGGTATTTCATTAAGCTCTATTTTTAATCTTTTGGGGAATTTAAAAACATGCGTTACTCAAACAAGCACATAATAGGACAATGCTAAAATAAGATGGGAAAAAAAATCATTGCCTGGGCTGGGGTTGTGGCTCAGCAGTAGAGCGCTTGCCTGGCATATTCGAGGCCCTGGGTTCAATCCTCAGAACCACATAAAAATACATAAATAAAGGTATTGTGTCCAACTACAACTAAAAAATAAATATTAATTTAAAAAAAACACCCACGGCCAAAGTATCTTATTCATCCTTTTTCCTCCTAGGTTTTCTATTTATTTGCTTGGCAGTTTCCCCTTCCATTCTATTTTAGAGTATATTTGCCATTCCAAACACAATCTGGGTTCATCTTTCCTTTAATGTTAGTTYTTAAATATCATTTTCCAACACAGACCTTGTTTATGCCTGCTATATCTAGTTATTCAACCACCTGATGATTTTAAAAAATAATAATAGAATTTAATTTTGTTGTTAGGCTTGTTTTCTATAAATTTATCGCCTATCACTGAACCTTCTACTTCTTCACACATTGTTGAAATTCTTCCTCAACATCCAGTTCATGGTAGCTCATGATGGTTCCTCCCTTC